ACTTCACTTTTTATCTGTATAAATCTTATCTTGTCATTTTATCTTTTGAGTGCGTCATAACACTGAAAAGGTACGTCATAATAGATTAAAATAGAAAATATTTTATTTTTCGTAATTGAAGACCTCTCGTCTCTTACAACGATCTTTCGTGATTATCCTTAAACGATAATACGACACCGCTCAAACTTTTCTTAATTTGCTTGCTATAACTGTCTTGGTTTTCCCTTTCTTTCTTATTTTCCTTCATCACGTTCACAAGCTTATCCTATCAAGTCAAATATAATCAAAAGAAAGTATATTTATTCATGTTGGTCTATTATAGACACCTATAAAAGAATATACCGTCAGTTCAAAATCTACTTCTCATTTAAAAAAAGAATAATAGCTGAGTTTCTTTTTCGTTCGAAAAAAGAACTCACCTTTCTCGTATGAAAGAATTCACAAGAAATAATCTTTATTGAAATAAACTTAGAACAAGCACTTTTGAATAGTCATATTTTTGGTTCTACCACTAATTCAGAACGCAGACTCATCACAAGAAGAATGAGCAAGAAAATCAGCTCTTATTCTTTTCAAATGAGATTATACATGGTTATGAAAGTATAGATTCATGTTTAAATTATATTAATAAAAATGTAGAATCAAGTATATGTTATAACGTTTATACAAAAGAAATAATTTTATCGGCAGCCGTAACCCGAAGTGTTCAAACATTTTATGTATCTCTGGATTGAAAGAATCTCTCAGATGAATAGCTCGCTGTAGTCAGTTTAGAAAGTATATTCCTTGAATTATAAATGTAGCTTATAAGATACGGCAATGTTCTATTTATAGAGAGCATCACAAAACATTGTTATTCAAATATTCAAGGCGGCCAAATGACAGGATCTTGTTATGAGTAGTATCATCCCATCAAATTGTATTTTTATTTATTTCACCGCAGTTCTTTTACGAGTAATCAGTTCACTAGCTACCCGCCCCGGCTTCTCACGGGTGTACACTGTACATGTATTGTACATATAACCCTTAGGAATAGATAATTCAAGAAAATTATGCATTCCTAATTATTCAAATCCTTTCATTCATTCATTCATAATTTAAGAGCTACGCTCTTGTCGGTGGAGCTCTTGCCACTTTCCGCGATCTTCCATCATGCTCTTTAATTCTTGATACGACACGACTCCCATTTTGTCCTCAATTTGTTTGATGTAGCTATTCCTTGGTCTTCCCCTCCCCCTCTTTCCTTCTATTTTCCCCTCAATAATAATTTTCATGAAATCATCGTGCCGTATCAAGTGCCCTAACATTTTTCCTCGTCTATTTTCTATGGTGTTCAATATTTGTCTTTTTTCTTTTACCCTGTGTAGTACTTCTTCGTTTCTTACTTTATCCTTCCAGCTAATTCTTTCCATCCTCCTCCAACACCACATTTCAAAAGCCTCCAGTTTGTCTCTTTCCTTTTGATTTAATGTCCACGTCTCACACGCATACAAGGCTATACTCCAGATATAGGTTTTAATAAATCGTTTCCGTGAGGTCTTTGATATTTTAGCGCGTCAAATCCTTTACGTAGTTTAAAACATCTAAGCGATCAGACAGCTAAAGCGACTTCATTTTGTATATATGTAAAGTAGGGTTTATTCCCGGGAAATTCATGGGTTTTGTTCCCGGGAAATCAAGCTCGAGAAAAGTCGAGAACTCGAGAAATCATGTACCTATATAGAAATTAAATTGCCCTTTGTTTTGTTGCGTGGCGGCGCAATAATTTAAGATATTAACGTTTTTGTTTTCTTTCGTGTTATTTTTTTATTTTGTAGAAACTATTTTTGTTTACATTGTTTTTTTTTTATCTAAATAAGTAGCCAAAAATGGTGCTATCATTATAAATATAAGTCTGAATAATTAGGTCCTAAAAATTGAAATTGGCGTTTTGTAAGGGAATAAAAATAAAGTTTTTTTTTTTTTCAAATTATATCAAAGTAAATAATATATAAAATATATTTATTTAATCAAAGTATGTACCATTTCTATTTATGCCTTTTGTTTTTGCACTTTGGACTGTCCCATCGGAGTGTAATTTTTTCCCTTGCAAGTAGTTATCCAAATTTCGAAAAAAAAAATGGTAATCTGTAGGTGCAAGGTCCGGGAAGAACGGTGGTTGTCTTAGACATTCCAATTGAAGCTCTTTTAATTTGGTAACTGTCTGTTGTGCAATATGTGGTTAAGCGTTCTTGGCGATTGACCAGCCTCGGTTGTTTAGCAGCTAGCTATGGTTTCTCAATTGCTGACAATACACATTTGCCGTAATCGTCTGGCCAGATTTAAGAAAGCCTAAGTGAACAACACCGGAAATAGTCCACCAAACGTTCACAAGTAACATTTTTTGAGCCATATTTCGCTTGGGGCAGGATTTGGTTGGTTCGTCGAAATTTCCAGAACGAAAACGTTGGAACCAAAAATGCACGTGTTTTCTTTTGCGAGACCACTCTGCCATACACATCATTAATACTTCGAGCCGTTTAGCACCGTGTAGCACTGGTGCCACAGCGGAACTCGTACTCGTAAATAACGCGATATTTTAAGTTTTTTCATTTTGTATGCTGTGAGTGACCCAAAGTGAATAGCTGTATAAATTTGGAAATGGAATTCCTAATCAAAGAGGAGATATTTGAGATCAAAGTGACCAGTACGACTAAACACCAATTTCATATGTAAGGATCTAATATTATTTCTCTATTTAAAAAAAAATATTCGTATGTAATATTAATGTTTTTAAATATACTCAATAAAAGTTTAATTTGATACTTTTATTTGTGAGGAAAACCACTGAATTTTTTGACGTTATTGGAACCAAATAATATGAGAAAACGTACATAAATGTAAATTTTTCGACAACCCGAGAAGACCCGAGAAATTGACCTCGAGAATTCTCGAGACCCGAGAAATTGAAAAGCTCGAGAAATCATGAACCCTAATGTAAAGATACCGAGGTAGTGGAGGTTGAGTCACCAGTGGAGGTTGATAAGATGAGCATGAGGTCAGATCAGTTAGCCCATCGTGACAAATTTACCAGGAATTTATCACGATGGATTCCAAGGGGAACCACGTGGAGGTCAACCTGATATGGTACATTGGTAGCAAAAGTGTAACCTTGGTACTGTCTTTTGAACAAATTCGCTTGTTTGAATACCTTTCAGCCATCAAGAAGCAAAATTTTCGGCATCGGTCTAACAGTTGAGCACACCGCCTTACCTCCAATGATCGCAGGTTCAATTCCTCGCACGATACAAACATAATATTCATGAGTAAGATAGTTTGCATTTGACGACCTCGGTGGTCTAGTGGTTTAGCACACCGCTTTACTTCCAATGGTCGCGGGTTCGATTCCTCGCACAGCACAAACATTTGTATTCCTGAGTATGATTGTATCGGTCTGGGTATTTTCTATGTATAATATCTACGTATTTACGAAAAAAAATGTATCTATGTATTTGTATTAGTTATCTAGTACCCATAACTCAAGCTTTAGCTTAACTTGGGCATAGACGGCGCTGTGTGAAGTGTCCTGAGATTATTATTATCTTTTCTCTTTCTTTCTTTCTCTTCCTTTACAAATTTAAAAGAAGGTAATACTCACCTACACGGGCCTTAGCCAAGTGTGGGAGAGGTTGTGCTGTGTGATGATATTGTTAAGGAGGTTAAGAATTTTCGAGTTATGCGACAGGTAAGTATTGTGCCTTTTTGTGGGAGATATGTTTTGGATGTTATATTATTACTATTGGTTCGTACTGATTAATTCCTAATTACATTACAGCTGACACATTTGTATTCATGAGAAAGATTGTTTGTACCGATTAATTCCTAATATTCGGTACAGTGGACAACATGTTATCTTTGACGCAATTCAATTAGATAGAAGGAAATCACAGAAAATAGGAGATATCTATCTATTATACAGTAGCGATAACATAGCACTTTTTTTGCATCGTTCCGTTCACCCGAGGCAATAGTTACTTTGTTTCCGTATTGTATGTACATTTTTATATTAATTCTTAAAATAAAGACTATTGGTTAATATATACATCTGAATTGTTATATTTAAGTGTGTACTTAGTATAACGTATATTGGAAAATTCGAGTCATAAATCAGTCCCGTTTTCTTATAACAATTATATACCTATATATTTTATAAGACCAATCTTTGAGATTTTTTTCTCTGCTACAAAAGTTAATCATAACGAGAACAGTGTATATGATGTCAAAGGTGTGAAAAATGAAATACCCCGAGTTATGCTTTTTATTCCACAATCAATGTGCCTAATATAAGATTTTTAATGGGAAATTAAATATTCTTTATCAAGAACTAGCTGACCCTGCGAACTTCGTTCCAATTCAGAATTAATCAAAGATTTTTTGAAGTATAGTTACTTAATAAATTTCTAAACGCGCCCTGTTTGACAGATACGAACAGTTTGTATGGGAAAATAAAATTGTTATTTTTACTATTTTCCATGCAATTACCTCACATTTTCTCACCAATTAAACCTTCCCTGGAGTTCTACAAATATTTCGAAACCAAAATTAGCCGATCAGTCCAGCCGTTTTTCTTTATACATTTATTAATCAACAGACTTAAAAATAAGTTTCAAGATCCTAGCTTTAAAAATGATAATATTTCTATACAACCTTTCATTTTTTGTTGTAATAAAGAGTAACCTTTCTCAGGGTTTAGACTGTGTCAGGGTCTGTGTACCAAATTTCATTTAAATAGGTTCAGTAGTTTTGGCGTGAAAGTGACAGTTACTTTTCGTTTGTTTAATCAAAACGAATGTATTAAAAGAAATAAACATTTGAAATTATTACATTTTAATTTATCAAACCTTGAGTTACTAATATTGATTCATAATACTACACGTTTTTATCTGTTGATTATCGCATATTTATCTATTAATGATTATTACACTCTTCTGGTATGTTATCAGTAATGAATTGCCATCACAATGGCGGTGACGCGACGCGGTTACATTTTTTGCGCGTTTTTGTTAAGTGTCCTGAGCATATTGTTGATTGTGGTTGCTGCAGCCAGCGATAGTTGGGTAAGCAACTCTTTTTTCTGGATGATAATGGAATGGTGCAACGGTTTACACTGGAGGGGCAAAGGTGGAGGATGATAAGACGAGGATGAGATCAGATCAGTTAGCCCATCGTGGTAAATTCTTCACGAATTTTACAGAAGGTTTACAGAAGGAACCACATGGTCAACCTGACATGGTACATTGCTAGCAATAGGGACACTAGACCCCATTACTAAAAATTCTCTTTCCCCCGTGGACGATTATGGAATGCTGCATCCGCCTGCGCTAGTGGTTTACGCTGGCGGGGCACCAGTGAAGGATGATAATATGAGCATGGCGATAGGTCAGTTGGTCCATCGTGACAAATTAACTGGTGAATTTTCAACAAACAATTCCTTTCACCTCGGCAGGTCATAACTGGGTGACTGTGTATTTTTATTTTCATTAGATGTTGTAGTTGTCTAATCAGTGTTAGACTGTTGTTTTTAATATATTTTGATGGACACGGAACACCTTTTGAGTGATAGGATGAATGAAATAGTGAAATATGAAGTCAAGTCATTCAGTTAAAGGCGAGGTAACTACAATGATTAATGAGGTAACCAAAAATAGGCTTGACATGGCGTGTTGCTAGCAAATAGGTACACCACATTTTTAATAGTACCCTTGCTCCTCATCCAGATGTGCTCTGCCTGCGTATGTAACCTACCTGAATCTCACTTAATTCTGCAGCCACTAGCTTCCTTTGTTCACTATCTTCAGGCATTTAATGGACAACCACGGTACACCCGTCTACGCTAACGGTTTACGCTGGCACCACGACAATTTTCTGAGGGAACAGCGTGGATATTAACTTGACATAATATTTTCCTAGCTAAAGGTTTAACCTACAACCTACATCTGTCTCATTTCATTCTGGAATGAATGAATGAATGAATGACCATGGAACGGTACACCCGTTCGCGCCAACGGTTTGTGCTGGCACCACAACTGTTTCCAGGGGGAAGCGTGTCGAGGTCAACCTGACATGGTCAACCTATATCAAATGGTATCAACTACTACTAACAATTCCCTTCCCCCCGCCGACAACTACTAATATAAAAAACTACTACTACTACTAATATAAAAAAAATATTGATAAGAATGTCTGTATGTATAACTATTTTTTTAAATTTATTTATATATATAATTCAGTCTACTAATGGCCTATGTTATAAATACCTTACAGACTAACATAGATATGAATGATATAATTAATAGAAAAAATAAATATAAATTGGTAATCGAATAGAAATAAACTTAATATAAGCACTTTTGAATAGTCAAGTTTTTTTATTCTACCGCTTATTTTGGAATGCAGATTCATCACAAGAAGAATAAGCAAGAAACTTGTGTGTTGTTCTTTTAAATAAATATTGATTTACTTATATTTAATTAACAACAAGGATTAGGCATGCGACAATCAACATAGAAACCGCTACGTACTTAATCTCTGTTGAATCAGATAACATCTGCCACAGTAGCGGCGATACACAACACCCTTCGGCCAGTAGTCCTCCTTCATGAAGGTGGCCAGGCCAGGCCATGTTGGTGGGAACTCGGGCCACAAACGCGTTAAAACTCGCGTTATGACTCGACTCCAGCTGCGTCACCCTCAATGTCAGGTTACTCCTGGTCCGTATTCGACAATGTCCTGCTCGTTTTTAATTTTTAATGTGGTTTGTTTCAGGTAGTATCAAGTGCATCGGAATCTGGTCAAGAATTAGACAGTCAGTTACGATATGGCCTGTTCACTGGAGTGTGGGAGGATTACACTCTCATCACGCCGGTTATGAGCACTCTCCATAGTAAGTACCCGAGATTTTTTCTTGAGACTATATAATATAACTTTTCAAGAAGGGTATATTAAGGTTTCTTAAAGGTTCGCAATGCGGGCGTGAGCATTGGGTTCTTTAAGATGGGTATTAAGGGGTCTTAAGGGTTAGTAATGCACACGCGACACTCTTGGTGTTTCAGGGGTTCATAGAATATAGTATCCGTTTATCATCAGACGGGCCGTAAGCTTGATTGCCACCATAGTGATGTAAAAAGTGTATATATATCTTAATAATATTATAAACGTGAAAAATTGTAAGTATGGATGTTTGTTGCTCTTTTATGCAAAAACTACTGAACGAATTTTAATGAAACTCTACAGCAATATAGCTTATGCATCAGAATAGACAACAAATAGGCTACAAATTTCACGCAGGTGAAACCGCGATCACAGCTAGTGTAGTAATAGATGTGTAACGGATATGGATGGGGGAGGGATATTAGTAATGGGTACTAGTTTATGGGTATTAGTTACTAACTTTCGTGTTTAATATACATTATTTAAATTACTAACCGGGTCTTAACACGAATAATTTTATGGCAAATAAAGGTATTTACCTCTCTCGACGTTTCGACTAGGATGCACTAGCCGTGGTCACGAGCTGACTGGAGTAACAGCGATGTCAATGTAGATAGGTGACAGCAGTTTTTTCTTCATCTACCGTCACTAGATTGTTTAACGAAAATGGGTACTAGTATGATACATAGTTAAGCTGTTGTTGATTCTTTTTAGTAATAAACAAATACTTTCCTTAAAAAATAAATTCAATCAGGCACGATTGATGAATCGATAAATAACTTTAATAAATTGAACGTACTACGTGAAAAAAGTTGCATTAATGTAAATAAAATGGAAACATATCGTTTATATAATATTATGTTCTCTTTGATAATATATACATATACATCAATTGTAAAAGTACTTTAATTAACTACAACCTTTGTTTATTTTATAACTAGATAGCGCTATAGGAATTGTCCTGGATTATTATAATAATCTCTGGGCAATTCACACAGCGCTATCTAGATACAAGTTAAGCTAGCTAAAGCTTGTGCCATAGCTGGATAACTGATACAAATGCATAGATTTTTTTTTTCATAAATACATAGAAAACATCCAGACCGATACAATCTAGATGATCAATATATCCAGACATGTGGTGGCGTGGTGGGCCGGGTCATTGGGCTCCCTAAAATATAGTCGAGCGCAGTGATGGCTGGCTCATCCGTCATACTCGTGAACGAGTGCTGCTTGTAGGGACTGGTCTGCTCTTATCACTATGACTGATTTAATATTATTGTGTTTTTATAATTGAGGCTAAATAAATTAGTGCTGGTTGATAGTTTGTATTCACACGTTTCGACTTGTAAAATGTGAATTTACAAGGATTGTTTAAAAGAGCAGCACACAAGTTTCTTGCTTATTCTTCTTATGATGAGACAGCTTTCCGAATAAGCGGTAGATTAAAAAAATGTCGACTATTCAAAAGTGCTTAAATTAAGTTTATTTGAATAAATGATTTTCTATTCTATTCTAATCATACTCATGAATACAAATTTTTGTGCCGTGCGAGGAATCAAACCCGCGACCATCGGAAGTAAGGCGGTGTGTGGCGCAGGACCACCGAGGATGTCAGACTATTACTTATTTACTTATTATATATACTTATACTTTTTTCAGTGACATGCGTGCCTGGCAAAAACGCTTGTGCTCTGAGCTGTAAAACAACTAGAGAAGCGAGGATCACCGAGGTAATTACCTATCTTATTAATATTATAAACGCGAAACTTTGTGAGTATGGATGGATGTATGTGAATATAAAGGCCGACAATGTACTTGCAATCCCCCTACCGCCCATGAGTACCCTCATGGGCCGCGGTAATCACTTACCATCAGGTGAGCCGCAAGCTCATTTGTCCCTTGTGTTATAAAAAAATAATGTTTGTTACTCTTTCACGCAAAAACTACTGAACGAATTTTAATGAAACATTAAAGTAATATAGCTTATACATTAGAATAACATATAGGCTATACGTTTCACGTAAGTGAAACCGCGGACACAGCTAGTCGTTTATAATTAACTGTCTACATTCAACGGTGTTGCACGATTCGGGTTAACAGTATCCTATGTATTAAAATCGAGAAGATGAGCAGTTCATACTTCATCAAAATTAGGTCAGCAGTTTTAATACGAACAAATAACAAATATAAACTACTGTAGGTATATACATTTAGGCTGGATTTCACCACGTTCACATTCAAGGAAACGGAGTTCAGCGTGAACTCGAAAAAATGAACGACGTTGATCTCGTTTTACTTTAAATGGAATTCACCAACATTATACAGATCGCGTTCACCAAAATGAAGTTTAGATTTTCATTCGTTCACAGTGTTACACGCTCATAAAATAATATTTGATGCAATGGGTAATTTAAATAAAATAATTCTAAGAAATATTTGTAATTCGATCATATGATAATTAGGATAAGTTTTTTAATTTTCAATTTAATAAGTACCGTCGACTACAAAGTATAAAACAACAACCTTTGCCTATAAACTAGTAAAAGATTATTTTATTGAGGAAAAATTGGCCGTCTCTTAGGAATTTTCACAGTGTCCAATAATATTTGACTAAAATGAATACCTTCATATTATTTACATCGCTATTATGGTAAATATTACTGATCAATAATATTCCAAGTTTATCTTATCTACTGTATCAATATTTCACTAAAAATTTCATTAAATTTATTTTTACTAGCTGTATCCGTGACTTCGTCCGCGTGGAAATTAACATAATTTTTCTAAAATGAAAGTAGCCTAAGTTACTCCTTATTACATCAGCTACCTGCCATAAAAAGTCACGTCAAAATCGGTCCAGCTATTTCAGAGATTAGCCGGAACAAACAGACACACAAAAATGATATTTTGATATATCTACCGTATTTATATTCATATGGATGTAGTAAATAACGGTTATTTCAATATTACGAACAGATAAAATTGGAGTACAATTTTATTTATACTATATGTATACATAGATTATTACTGCATACAATAAAATCGTTAATTCGTGATATCGTAATCGTTGTAACAGCTGTCTGTTTATTCATTCGTGTGTTGTTGAAAACTATTCAATAAATGCTACTAAAGACTGACCCGTAACGAGAATGATTTTCAGTGTCTTTTTGACAGTTTCTAACGCTTACAAACGTCAAATGAGACGTTCATAATACCAAATCGCTAGACAGTAAACGGTTCAATGTATGGAAATAAGAAATAGAAATAATCTTTATTCATATAAATGTAAATCTATAAATAAATAAATACAATAATATTTCTTAAACAAGCCTAATGTAAACACTTTTTAATACTCATTTTTTTTCTACCGCTCTTTCGGAACGCAGATTCATGACAAGAAGAATGAGCGAGAAATTCTTCTAAATAAAGTTGTTTTAAATAAATTCGAATTAGGGCATATAATATGGCCCAACCAAGGTTTCACATAGAAAACGTATTTTAAAACAAATCAAATTAGAGTTTATAATATGCCCCATGGTTTCACATAGAAAACGATGGTGGATTGGAATGAAAGTTTTTGGTTTTACAAAATATGTTCAGATTAACATACTGGCGCGGAGTATTAGAATGAACTAGTTGGCCTGTCAAACATTATTTTGTTATAGAAATTAATATCGCTATTAAATATGAGTTGATGGTGGAAGGCTGGAATTTTAGGAGTGTATGTATTTTTTTCTCCAATAAATAAAAAAAACGTGGTGTGCCATAGTGATAGTAAAATAGTGTCAATTTCTTACACATTCTTTATGGTTCCCATCGTTTACTAGATTAAGCGCTAAAATAAAAATAAACCAATTCGTATATTAAAAAAAGCTGACCCACACAACTTCGTCTGCGTTTCATTTATATTTTTCATTGCAGCTCCGCTCCTACTGGTTATAGCGTAATGTTATATAGCTTAAAGTCTTCCTCGACAAATGTACTATCCAACACAAAAGTAACTATTCAATTCGGGCCAGTAGTTCCTGAGATTAGCGCGTTCAAACAAACAAACTCTTCAGCTTTATAATAATTGTATAGATTTAGCTACTTTAATAATGTATTGTCACATTTACAGGTGGAAGCGTTAGCCAATGGTTACCGTCCGACGGTCACCTGCACTTCAGTAATAACAGTCGACACAGAAAACCCATGTGAGTCTTTATACAGCATTATCAGATCTACCCCAGATATTGAGTAATAGTCTAGCGGTTAGCATACCATCTACGCCCCTACGACCATCATCATGGTCGCGGGTTCGACTCCTCGCACAGTACAATCATTTGTATTCATATGTATCAATTTGTTTATGCCAGTATGGCTGTTTGTGTGATTGTTATGGATGATAATGGAATGGTGCACCCATCTGCGTTAACGGTTTACGCTGGCGGGGCACCAGTGGAGGATGATAAGATGAGCTTGAGGTCAGATATGTTAAGCCCATGGTGGTAAATCTCTATGAATTTATCACAATGATATCCAGGGGGACCACCTTGGTTCTGGAGCTCAACCTGGAGTGGTACATTAACAATCCCCTACCCACCAAATTTGATTGTATAAAAAAAAAAATTAAGTACATCTATCAGTTGTTTAGTACCCATAACACAAGCTTTCCTCTCACAAGTCAGTCAGAGAGTAAAGATAAGGATAATTTTATGAGAGAAATTGTTGTAGGCTGGCCATTTTATATTCAAATATCGGTACCCAACAAAATATGAACTTGAAAACTTGCTTTTAATACTACGTCGGTAATTCACAATACCCCTAATTGAGAGGAATGGGATATTTAGTAACGACTGACTATGCTAACAACTGGTCAATATTGCTAGCAATGTACGATTTCAGTTAGACCGCCACGACAATCTGATCTCAAGGTGACGAATGTGTTAAGATGATAGCATCCTCCACTGATGCTTCACCAGCGTATACTGTTAGCATACATATCCGAGAATACCATTACATTACCATGCATTAAAAACCTCTAACCTTCTAACTACCTCATACAGGTATTATTTATTGTACCTTACATTGTGATGCGTATTATTTCTTGCACCTATTTCCACCACTCCGCAATTCCTCTCAGTAACTCAAAGGTTGACTGGAAGAAATCCCTCTTCTGGGATAAGTCTGCCATTGTACGCATTTATTTATTTTTTTAAGTCAATTGTGTCCTTTTATTTATAATGTTATTGTACAATAAACTATTACAAATAAACAAACAGGTTAGGCGTGAAGATAAATTCTTTTATTTGCAGTATCAACGCCGCCAGTGATATCCTTTATTTTCTACCTCTTTCTACTTCTGGTGCTGTTCCTGCAACTGCTGTTCGCAATATTCTCTGCAGGGCTGGCTATCATGAACTCCACTAAGAATCCAACCGAACCAATATTTGGATTACCAGGTTTGTAGGTATTTCAATATATTATTGACCTCGCTGGTCTAGCGGTTTAGCACACCGCTTTACTCCCGACGGTCGCGGGTTCCATTCCTCGCGCGATGCATATATTGATATCGATTAGTATGATTGTTTATATCGTCTGGGTGCTTTCTAAGAATATTATGTATGTATACAAAAAATGTATTTAACACACAAGTTCTGCTTAGCTTGGGACTACATGACGTTGTGCTAAGGATATTACGATATACGCTGACCTTCATGAAGAAGGACTACTGCCCATATCGTCGCTACCGTGGCAGATTGCCGTCACCAGTGTCGTGACCACAGAGACAATTTATATTTTATTATTAAATAATAATAAAATGTGGATGTTAGTTTATAAGGTATTTGTGATATGGGCCATGTAGCCTGAATTATATAAAAAAGAAATAAATATCTATCATGATATCTGGGTGTATAGCGGCCAATTACCGTGCATTTTTCCAGATTTTTTTTACCACGCACAACCACATTGTGAACTCACCTTCTAGTAAGGATATTTCCGAACGGATACGATATTGAAACCTTAAAGAAAAGAACTTATTCGTCCTTAAAGGCCAGCAATTCAACTGAATTCCCCTGGTGTTGCAGGTGTTCATGTAGGTAATCACTTACCATCAGGTGTGCCGCGAACTAAGATATCATCTCTCTATGTACTCCCACATACATCGGGTGGAATGGAATTGTTAGTAATGTGGATTGAGGTACCCTTGAGTACCATTTCCAGGGAGAATCATCGTGATAAGTTCCTTGTAAATATAGAAAGAAAAAAATTATTGACAACCTTTATTGCTATAAATATACACATATTTAATATCCATATTACATATATATACAAACACATACACACGCAAAACGATTATAAAAAACATCATCATCATCATCTGCTTCTTCCTTATCCCATTTATTTGGGATCGGCGTAATATGTTTTTCGCTTCCATTCATCCCTGTTCGCAGTCATCGCGTTATTTACTTCCTTTCTTACCATATCATCTTTCACACAGTCCATCCATCTCTTTTTTGGCCTTCCTCTGCCCTTATAACCATCCACATTCATTTGTAACATCTTTCTTAAAATATTATCCTCGTTCCTACGCATTACATGTAAAACATCTATAATATATATTTACAAGTTTGGCAACATGGCCGATATACAGCATTTGCCGTGACAGATAACTATCGCGGCGCTATACTATATAATTATAACAAATAGTGAACTTTGATAATAGTGTTAAAATAAGATTTCATATAATTGTATATGCAATGTAAGAATTCATAATGTAACAATACAACACAATGTAATGAAAACTGTGAAATTAGTAGTAGAGTAAGATTTATATAATTGTATATGCATATTGGTAAATGTAACTGGCTCCTATAAAGATAGGTGACACTGCATGTTGTCGACTCACCCGGCCGGCCAGCGGTGGTTCTGGGCCAGACGGATAAGGTCTGCCTCGGTGCCACTGTTAGGCAAATTGTAACATCTCGGCTGGAGTTGTACAAAAGTGGAAATTAAAGAAATATAATAATATTAAAGTAAATTAAAAAAAGACACGGACGAATATGTCTGTGGAAAATTGTATTTAAAATAAAAAAAAAATGCCTGTCATTTATCACGATGGGCTGATGATACTGATCTGATCTCATGCTCAACTTATCGCTGGTGCCCCTCCAGTGTAAACATTCTATTAGCATCCACAAAAAAATTGCACATTCATCCCATCCTCCAACCGAAACACAGTTTACAATATAGCTGGTTGCAATGTTTGAGATAGAATTACCAAGATGACTTTGTACAAAGCCTACCTCTGGTACCACTTTCCCTACCTCTTTTGACAGCTATTATAAAGCTTATTATATTAATTTTCAGGTTGTCTTTGGGCTAATGTTATAAGTTTAATACTGGGGACAGCAGTGCTCCTAATGTTCGGCATATACTGGGCCACGTCCACTCTTCAGGACCATCTGGCGTTCTCCTTTGTAGCTCTCGGCTCTTATGGTCTATCACCTTCGCTTGGATACTCATATTGGTATATAACATTTTGCACATTTATATTAAACTATAAGGTATGGTCTTGAGCGGAAAAGCAGCGCCATCAATTTCTAAAATCGGCGGTACTATTTTTAAAACATCCAGGAAGCATTGAAATTTATAAACAAAATTTCATCCAAATCGGTCTAGCCGTTTAGAATTTTGATGACCATCACGGGTACAGAAGAAATAATATATATGTATATTAAGATGTTAGACATAGATATACACATTCTAAAAATATGTTAAAAACTTATATAAGATAATTTAAAAAAAGTGTAGCGTGTAATGCATAATGTTTTTTTTTATTGGTTTAGTATATTTGTATAATAATTAAAAAAAAATTGTATTATATATATATATAATGTGTAATAAAAAAAATTGCTTTCTGCACTTTTTCTCTACTATATATCTAAATATATATAACTCAAAGGTGACTGACTGACATAGTGATCTATCAACGCACAGTCCAAATCACTGGACGGATCGGGCTGAAATTTGGCATGCAGGTAGATGATATAACGTAGGCATCCGCTAAGAGAGGATTTTGCATAATTCTGCCCCCAAAGGGATAAAATAGGGGATGAAATTTTGTATGAAACTTTGTCAATTTTAAACCGATCAGGCTGAAATTTTGCATGCATAAAGCTACTATGACGTAGGCATCCTCTAAGAAAGAATTTTGATAAATTCCACCCGTATGGGGATGTAAGTTTATATAAATCTTCTTAGATTTTGTAGGCACTAATTTTTTACACACGCTAAACAAAAGTAAAGCCGCAAAAACTACACCTAGTTAATAATAATACTTACTACTTCGTGAGCGAAGCCGCGAGCCAAAGCTAGTAAACTATAAGTGAGTGAAATTTCATGCTTCTTCGTCTGCGCAATTTCAATAAAAAACGGTACAAAGTTTTTGATTTACATATTAATTTAATGATTATTATTTTTTGTAGATTAAAATTATTATTATTGACATCCTCGGTGGTCTAGTGAGTATCGCTTTACTATCCGATGGTCACGGGTTCGATTCCTCGAAGATACAAACATGTGTATTCATGATTATGATTATTTGATCTGTCTGGGTGTTTTCTATGTATAATATGTATTTATTTATGAAAAAAACTATTAATGTTTTTATATCAGTTTTCTCGTACCCATAACACAAGCTCTGCTTAGCTTGGGACTAGATGGCGTTGTGTGCCCTGAGAAGAAAAACATCTTTGCAGTATTTCATATATTTCAGGTTGTTAATCGTGGCGACTGCAGCCTCACTCCTGAATATCGTACTTCTTCAGTTGAGAGAATACATGCTGGAGAGAGATCCACCTCCTCCCACGCTGAAAGTAGAAAACCACTCAGATGGCACGATATTTTTATATTAGTCTAGTAATTATAAGGAAACCGGAAGACGCAGCGTGGGAAGGCCTCCAGCAAGGTGGACCGACGATCTGGTCAAGATCGCTGGAAGGCGTTGGATGCGAGCAGTGCAGGACCAATCGTCGTAGTGGCCTTTGTTCAGTGGACGTCTTCCGGGCGAAATGATGATGATGATGATCATGTATAATTATAAGTGAATATTAATAAATACGTAAATGACAAAAAATTAAATTATTGTATATTTTTGTAAATATTATTTAATAATTTATTTTATGATTGAGTTTTATTTTTTTTATTATTACTCGCAGTAACCCTGGATATATTTTTTTTACTTTTTTACTACTTGATAGATTAGTGGTTTAGCACACCGCTTCTTCCGATGATCGCAGGTTCGATTCTTCGCACGGTGCAAACATTTGTATTCATCAGTACGATTGTATATGTCTGGGTGTATATTCTGTGTATATCTATACATATATATAAAATTGGAGCGTCTGTTTGTATATTGTAATATTGAGATAACTTTTTTTTTACTACATGCATATGAATATAAATACAGTACATACACCTAAATAACATTTTTTACAATTTTTGTATGTTTGTTCCGACTAATCTTTGAAATAGCTGGACCGATTTTGATGGACTTTTATTGGCAGGTAGCTGATGTAATAAGAAGTAACATAGGCTATTTTTATTTTGAAAATAATAATTCTTTTGTTTTAGAAAATGAAAGTTAATTGTACGCGGACGAAGTCGCGGGCAATAGCTATTTATTTATATATTAACAAAAAAATATATCTATATATTTATATCAGTTGTAAGTTATACTTATTTATAACACAAGCTCTGCTCAACTTTAGACTAGATAGCGCTGTATGAATGGTTCTAAGATGTTATTATTAAATATAAGTTTTGGACCTCTCAGAATCTTTTACAAATTGAATTCATCTAATAACAATAGGTACTTAAAACTCGTCGCCCAACTCAATGGATTATCTATATTTGAATAATCCCTGAAATATTTAAAACTTATTGAATTGTCCGAAAATGAATTGCTCCAATCGGATTACCATACAAGAATGCTCTATTAATATTATTTTTCGTTTTCTCAGAATTATTATGGATTTGAGTTCAGCGACATCTTAAGCTAGGCATTGGGCTGGCCTGACACGCAGAAAGGTTTAGAAAATGTTTTAATTTCGATGATTATTACGTTACTAGCTGAACCCGCGACTTCGCCCGCGTGGAATTTAACTTTATTTTTCTAAAATAAAATTAGCCTATGTTACAGCTACCTGCCAAAAAAAGTCCCATCAAAATCGGTCCAGCCATTTCAGAGATTAGCCGGATCAAACAGACAGACAGACAGACAAAAATTGTAAAAAATGTTATTTTGGTGTATGTACCGTATTTATATTCATATGCATGTAGTAAAAAAAGTTATTTCAATATTACAAACAGACACTCCAATTTTATTTATATGTATACATTAAACACGATTCCAGACGACACCAAAAATATATTTTGTATGAATTTACATTTCCGACTGACGGTAGATTTGACATATCATAAGAGTCTGTAATAGACCTAAATGAATAAAGATATTTTGAATTTGAATTTGACTGAATTTACTTTTTCTGTGATGGATTTTTTTTACGAGTACGAGGTTTTCTCACGAGTCTACAGTATGGAGTTTTTTAAGAAGGGGCTGTAGACCCAAAAGAAACCTTAATATATCAAATATTAAGGGTCAGCAACGCGCACTTGACGCCACTGGTGTTTCAGGCGTTCATAGGTTACGGTAACCATCAGATGGGCCGTATATATGAATTTAAAAATAAAAATGTATCTAAGTATTTATATCAGTTATCTAGTATCCATAATATAAGTTCTGCTTAGCTTGGGACTAGATGGCGTTGTGTGAATTGTTCAGGTTATTAATACAGAACTACAGTAACACATGAATCATTTTGAGTGGCTTTTTAATAGGTATTTATGTAATAGATAACTGATAAATAGAAACAATATTAAATATCATTACAGTATTTGTGACAGTGTGCGTATAAAAAAGAAAGAAAGAAAATATATTTATTCATAAATAGAAACAATATTAAATATTACAGTATTTGTGTCAGTGTGTGTATAAAAAAGAAAGAAAGAAAATATATATATATTCGATAACGTACACGGCGAAACTTCAACTGTGTCCGGAACTGAAGTAGTGTTAAATGGAAAATATCTGTATCTCTCTGCGAGACAAGAATTTCATTGTATTTGCGATACATCCGGGCAATTGGACTGTAATCTGAAATGTTATTCGAGTAAAGTTGGAGATAAAAAGTTTTTATACTCTCGATTGCATGATTTAAATCTCATGTTACAGTTAAATTTAATTTTTTTTAATGAACCTCTGTGATTCAGATCAATTCAATTAATTTCAATTTATTTACTGGAACATGTGTACATAATGGTTTTAATTCACACACCACCATCTAGACCCTAGTTAAAGCTAGGTAAAGCTTGTGTTATGGATACTAGATTATTGATACAAAACATAGAGATTTTTTATTTTGTAAATATACATACATATTATATAGAAAAGGAATACATATAATTACATAGGAAAGACCCAGACGTATACAAACAATCATACTCATGCATGTGCTGTGCGAGGAATCGAACCCACGACCATTGGAATGAATGAATTGGCCTGGGTGTTTTCTATGTATATTATGTATGTATTTACAAAAAAATATAAGTATTTATATCAGTTGTCTAATACCCATAACACAAACTCTGATTACTTAAGATTAATAAGTGCAATATTTATCGTTTGAAGAAGAGCGAATATTAATAAGATTTATATGTTGATTATCGCATGCCTCCTACTTATTAATGTGTATTTATTTATAACAACCTATATTTAGAAAGCAAGTTTCTTAGTCATACTTCTTGTGATGTCTATGCGTTGCGAATGAGTGATAGAATCAAAAAATTATGACAATTCAAAAGTATATTGTTTATTCAAATAAAGATTATTTCTATTCAATTCTATTCTAATAATTAAATAGTTTTGACATTAACTTTGAAAATACATGTACGCCGAAAATACAAATAAATCATTCATCTAAAAAGGGTATTATAATTGACATTTATTTGATCGAAGCTGATAGTATATAGTTGAAGGATCGACCTCCAGACTATAACTATTCATTGATCTCGAACATTCCACAGATTTAAATCCTTGGCCTTTCCACACAATGGTAGAATAGTCCCAGAGCCAGAGTCAAATTTCGTCACTTTTTTTTTCGACAATTTTTTCTTGGCCGAAAACTTTTAAAATGGTTTGGTAGTTGTATTATAAGGGTAGTGCTTCTTCTTGCAGGCTGCCGCCTATGAAGCCTTTTTTAAACTCATGGAGACCTGCTCCAGGGTAGGTATACGAGTGCTGCCGGACTCCTGCCGGCTAAAAACCCCAAGGTATTCCTTCTTTAATATTTCGTTAGAGTTACGGGAATTCGCGAGCAATCTTTTGCTGTATTATAAAGCCTAGTAAAGCCATCTAGTGAACAGTAGACATTTTAAAATAATTTTCCTAATAAAGAATTGTAACGAACTTTAAAGCTATAGTACATAATGTCTATTTTTATATAAAAAAAATAAGTTTGTGAGGGTTTTGCTTCTCAATCCACCCTCGAAACTGCAGCTGACATTCACTAGGCTTCATAACTACCTTGACCATTATAGAAGTTTTCAACCGGGGGAAATTTGGTTACATTAACCTGCCGCATGGTCGCGGACTATAAGTAACAAATTGAGAAATAGTTAAATATTTAACTTCGAATATTAAGTATCAAAGTCCTAAAAGCTAGCCATTTTTATTTAAGAATACGAATTTCAATTTTGTTATCTTATAAGTACGTACGTTATTTTATTTGCTTATATAGAAGTATTTTATATGCAAAAATGAAAAATCGTGCCTTCGAGCCATAAGTAAATATAATCTTTTGATTCCAGTGCATGATTTTGTGCAGTTAGCTTATTAGACATGGAGTCGGGAGTAATATTTCTGTCAGCACTCTACTCCCTTACATTAGTACCTTTCCTGATAACATAATCTATGTTATCAGGAAAGGTATCAGGATCAAGTGTAAAGACAGTTTACGTCCTGACTCCATGTCTAATATACGCGTTACTAATAAGCGTTGTTAAATACTATCAAATAAATTTACTAATGTACAATAATATTTATACATATCTATATATTTTTGTGTTTTTGTATATATATATATATATATATAGTACCTGTTACAGCGATTATTTAAGTACGTATATATGTATATTCACAGGTATGTAAGCTTATTACTATCGATATATATACCTAAGTTAGGTAAATACAAATAGTATGCCTTTTCCCAATACTGCCCTTCAACCGCTTTCTGTTTCTACCCAATGTTTAGCTGGTAGAGAATGCCATATGGCATTAAGCTCGCCAATTGTACATTATTTTAAATAGTGCAATAAAGGATAAATAAATAAATAAATAAATAAGTAGTATAGTTATTTCTCCGGTATACTCACTACTTAGATAAACAATATATATGTAGAGATACCTCATCACATCATATATAATGCTACAGTCGTGAGGTGATATCACCGCGCGATATTTTGATTATAACATTCTTTATCTCTTTCTAGTCCAGGTAGGGCCAGAAAGAGATAAAGAATGTTATATTACAAATAATAATAAATAACCCTGCACAATTCACACAGCGCCATCTAGAACCAAGTTAAGCTAGCTAAAGCTTGTGTTATGGGAACTAGATAACTAATACAAATACATAGATTTTTTTAGTAAATACATACTTATTATACATAGAAAACACTCAACAGATACAAAATATCATACTCATGAATACAAATATTTGTGCCGCGCGAGGAATCGAACCCGCGATCATCGGAAGAAAAGCGATGTCATTTGCCGCTAGACCACCGAGGCCGTCAAAATAAATATTCTACATTAACTTGTAGGATATTGTTTGCCACTTATGTGTTACTTAGATACTCGAAATGTTACTTTAAAAGTT